GGGAGATTTGAGAAAAGTGAGCAGATATCTATGCCCCGAGGTATCTAATTGCTCAGCCAATGGCTCTCGATACAAAGAGAATAAACCAGGTAAAAAAAATGCGGAACAAAACCCCTAAGCAGTTGCAGAATGTAGCGTAAATAGTGGCCATGAAACCCGTGTCAAATGCCTTTCCTGATGTCCAGGACAGGAAACGGGTATGAGACTATCACGGGATTTAGCAATATGCGCCAGAAGAGTTGCGCGTTCTGAACGTTATCTCCGGCCTGCCGAGATGGAATGAATCCACCTAGTCATTATGGATTAAGGAACCTATACACATATTAAGGCGTTTATTGTGGCAAGAATTTTGGCAAGTAGTTTAATGTCAATATTGAGAGAGAGAGATCGGCCTGTAATTGGACCATTGCGTATCGTCCTAATTAGGTTTTTGGATCATTGAGATGGTAGCTTGCACTGATTCTGAATTAAAGGTATGGCCCAGTAGTATGGCGTTAAAAGCACTGGTAAGGATGGGTGTTAGAAGGTGGGCACATTTTTTGTAATATGTGGCGGGAAAACCCATCTGGTCCTGGACGTTTACGAAGCTTTAAATTTTTAATCGCGCTTAAGGTTTCAGTTGGAGTGATGGGTTGTTCTAAGGCTGCTAGGTGTGTGCTCAGAGAGTGCCGGGAAGGAGATGGGCTCCAGGAGAGCATCGGCCTGGGTGAGGTCAAGGGGTGCAGAGGAAGAGTAGAGTTGTGAGAGATGCTTGTGAAAGGTTTGCAGGATGCGTTCCGGGTTATTGGTGAGGTTGCCAGAAGAGGTGCGTATTCGAATGGGTCTAATTATCTGGTCAAGCCTACGAAGCGAAAGGACTAGAAAGGTGTTGGGTTTATTTGCATTTGTATAATATTTCTGTCTGGCTCTTCGGAGTGAGAGCTCCGCCTGGTCCGTGAGGAATAAGTCAAGAGCTAATCGGGCTCGCTCGCTCAAGAGCTTTACTGTTGGCTGGTGTAGGGTTGCTTGGAAGGCTTGATGGGATTGGTTGTATGTTCGCTCAAGGGAGAGACGCCTCTGTCGTTTTGCTTTATTTAAGTAGGATGCTTTACTAATGCAAAATCCCTGTAGGACTGGTTTATGTGCTTCCCAGAGAAGGAGAGGGGATATATCGGGTGTTTGGTTGAAAGTTAAATAATCTTTGAGAGCTGCCTCAATTTCTTGGCAGTGAGATGGATTCGCTAATAGATTGTCATTAGAGATGAGCGAATCGAACTAGGCAAAGTGGAATTCGTTTCGAATATTAGGAAAATTTCGATTCGCGACCCGAATCCGAAAATTAGCAGACTTCGGATGCGCGAATCAAAATTTTTCCTAAAATGGCGGCGACATGTGTGGCGACGGAGCGTGGATGTTCTGGGAAGGCGCGCAGACAAGGCGCGCTGACCCATAATGCATTCATTCATGACATGTGATCACATTAGCCAATCAGCAGCCAGCCAGCCAGCACTGTGTAATGGTCGAGCTATAAATTGCGGCCATTTTAGAATTCTCCATTAGCCTCCAGTCATTCAAGAGAGGCAGACCTGTCTGTGTAACAGAACCGTTACTTAGGGACACAGAACCGTTACTTAGGGACACAGAACCGTTACTTAGGGCCACAGAACCGTTACTTAGGGCCACAGAACGTTACTTAGGGCCACAGAACCGTTACTTAGGGCCACAGAAACGTTACTTAGGGACACAGAAACCGTTACTTAGGGACACAGAACCGTTACTTAGGGACACAGAACCGTTACTTAGGGACACAGAACCGTTATATAGGGACACAGAACCGTTACTTAGGGACACACAATCGTTACTTAGGGACACACAATCGTTACTTAGGGACACAGAACCGTTACTTAGGGACACAGAACCGTTACTTAGGGACACAGAATTGTTACTCAGGGACAGACACAGAATTGTTACTCAGGGACAGACACAGAATTGTTACTGAGGGACAGACACAGAATTGTTACTGAGGGACACAGAATTGTTACTGAGGGACACAGAATTGTTACTCAGGGACAGACACAGAATTGTTATCAGGGACAGACACAGAATTGTTACTGAGGGACACATAATTGTTACTGAGGGACACATAATTGTTACTGAGGGACACAGAATTGTTACTCAGGGACAGACACAGAATTGTTACTCAGGGACAGACACAGAATTGTTACTCAGGGACAGACACAGAATTGTTACTCAGGGACAGACACAGAATTGTTACTGAGGGGACAGACACAGAATTGTTTACTGAGGGACAGACACAGAATTGTTACTGAGGGACACAGAATTGTTACTCAGGGACACAGAATTGTTACTCAGGGACACAGAATTGTTACTGAGGGACACAGAATTGTTACTCAGGGACAGACACAGAATTGTTACTGAGGGACACAGAATTGTTACTGAGGGACACAGAATTGTTACTGAGGGACAGACACAGAATTGTTACTGAGGGACACAGAATTGTTACTGAGGGACACAGAATTGTTACTGAGGGACACAGAATTGTTACTGAGGGACACAGAATTGTTACTGAGGGACACAGAATTGTTACTGAGAGACACAGAATTGTTACTCAGGGACAGACACAGAATTGTTACTGAGGGACACAGAATTGTTACTGAGGGACACAGAATTGTTACTGAGGGACACAGAATTGTTACTGAGGGACACAGAATTGTTACTCAGGGACAGACACAGAATTGTTACTCAGGGACAGACACAGAATTGTTACTCAGGGACAGACACAGAATTGTTACTCAGGGACAGACACAAAATTGTTACTGAGGGACACAAAATTTGTTACTGAGGGACACATAATTGTTACTGAGGGACACATAATTGTTACTGAGGGACACATAATTGTTACTGAGGGACACAGAATTGTTACTGAGGGACACAGAATTGTTACTGAGGGACACCGAATTGTTACTCAGGGACACCGAATTGTTACTCAGGGACACATAATTGTTACTCAGGGACACAGAATTGTTACTCAGGGACAGACACCGAATTGTTACTGAGGGACACCGAATTGTTACTGAGGGACACCGAATTGTTACTGAGGGACACCGAATTGTTACTGAGGGACACCGAATTGTTACTGAGGGACACAGAATTGTTACTGAGGGAAACAGAATTGTTACTCAGGGACCCAGAATTGTTACTCAGAGACACAGAATTGTTACTCAGGGACAGACACATAATTGTTACTGAGGGACACATAATTGTTACTGAGGGACACAGAATTGTTACTGAGGGACACAGAATTGTTACTGAGGGACACAGAATTGTTACTCAGGGACACAGAATTGTTACTGAGGGACACAGAATTGTTACTGAGGGACACAGAATCATTGAATTAAAGAGTATGTCAGACAACACGCAGAGAAGTGGCAGAGGAGACAATGTTTTAGGAGAGAGCAGACGTGGCAGCAGAGGAAGGGGTCGAGGCAGCACTAGTCGCAGCCAGAGGCCAGTGCTCCCGGTGTCATCCAGCGGTCGTGTCTCCACCGACAACCCTGCCGTCATCGATTGGTTGGCTCGGTCGTCTTCCTCTTCCCAGGTCACCTCTGACACCTACAGCCAACGGTCGGTGTGTACGTCAGACACAACCGTTAGTTGGCATGGCCCGGGAGCAAGGGATGCCCACTGAAATCACGTGTCCTCTACCTGCCCCTGTCCTTTGCTGTTCCCTCACCAAGCGAAGTATCGCATGCTGTGGCTCAGCCCCACTGTACAGTGAGGAAGAGCTAACAGAGGGCGGTCAGGAACGGGGGGAGACATCCGCCTCTTCAGCAGCCAGGCGAAGAAGTACTGGCGAGGAGAGTGGCTCGGTAGACGGTCTAGAGACAGGTCTGTCTCCTGACCCAGACGCACCCGAGGGGGGCTAGTAGTGAGGCGGAGACCCTAATTGATGATGATGAGGCTGATCGCACTTGGCAGCCTCGTCGTCATCAGGCTATTGCTTCCGCATCATCAGGAGAAGAGGGTGCCAGCTTGGCAGCAAGCAAAACAGTCGGTGGGTTGCCCAGGAGGCAGCAGGGTCGCAGCAGTGTCAGTGGAGGCAAACGGCCACGGAGTAGAGCACCAGCTCCACTGCAGCCTACCACCACGGCCAGTAGTGGTGCCGGTGTGCACGGAGGAAGTAGCAGTCAGCCAGTGAGGAGTAGCGGGGGCAAAGTTTCCTACTCGGCGGTGTGGCAATTTTTCGTCAAGCCACCCGAGGAAGTAAACGTAGCCGTATGTCGACTATGTGGCCAGAAAGTCAAGCGTGGCCATGTGCCCAAAGTGCCATGTGCCACTTTCAGGTCTCCTCACACTGCTGGTGCTGTACATTTTGTCATAGGGTGCTGGCAGATTACGGGCCTCCCATTGCTGCTGCCAGGCCTGTAATCTGCCATGGGCCCCTGTACCGCCTCCTCTCATGCTGCTGCCAGGTCCACAGTGTCTCATGGGTCCCTGTACGGCCTCCCATTGCTGCTGTCTCCATCGCCACACTCTGCCATGTGCCACTTTCAGGTCTCCTCACACTGCTGCTGGGTTCCATTTTGTCATAGGGTGCTGGCATATTACGTGCCTCCCATTGCTGCTGCCAGGCCCGTAATCTGCCATGGGCCCCTGTACCGCCTCCTCATGCTGCCAGGTCCACAGTGTCTCATGGGTCCCTGTACGGCCTCCCTTGCTGCTGTCTCCATCGCCACACTCTGCCATGTGCCACTTTCAGGTCTCCTCACACTGCTGCTGGGTTCCATTTTGTCATAGGGTGCTGGCAGATTACGGGCCTCCCATTGCTGCTGCCAGGCCCCTAATCTGCCATGGGCCCCTGTACCGCCTCCTCATGCTGCTGCCAGGTCCACAGTGTGTCATGGGTCCCTGTACGGCCTCCCATTGCTGCTGCCAGGCCCGTAATCTGCCATGGGCCCCCTTACCGACTCCTCATGCTGCTGCCAGGCCCGTAATCTGTCATGGGCCCCTGTACCGCCTCCTCATGCTGCTGCCAGGTCCAGAGTGTGTCATGGGTCCCTGTACGGCCTCCCATTGCTGCTGCCAGGCCCGTAATCTGCCATGGGCCCCCGTACCGACTCCTCATGCTGCTGCCAGGCCCGTAATCTGTCATGGGCCCCTGTACCGCCTCTTCATGCTGCTGCCAGGTCCAGAGTGTGTCATGGGTCCCTGTACGGCCTCCCATTGCTGCTGTCTCCATCGCCACACTCTGCCATGTGCCACTTTCAGATCTCCTCACACTGCTGGTGGGTTCCATTTTTTCATAGGGTGCTGTATGGCCTCCCATTGCTGCTGCCTCCACCGCCACACTGTGGCTCCACACTCTGGTTTTGGCCCCGTGACTGCCCAAATGAGTGAAGTGTGCGGTGATTCTAAGATCGACGGCACTCATCTGCATGTCATACTGACTGACAGTATTATTTCTCTTCCCCAGCAGACTCCAAGGGCATTTAAATTAAAGGTACAGTGTTCTGCACTAATATAAAGGCTCTCTGAAGCCTAGAAACACCCTTTTTATAAGTTAAATTTGCAGCGAATATATTCGACTCAAATCAAATTTTTTCCATGAATTCGCCGAATCAGTCGAATCGAATTTTTGAATAATTCGCTCATCTCTAATTGTCATTAATGATCCAGGAGGGGTCAGACGGAGATGGGGCTAGGGAGGTCATTGAGGTAAATACAGCGCTATGGTCTGACCAGGGGATAGGAAGTATGTCAGAGGCCAGGAGCCGGGATGAAGAGCCAGCGGTTACAAAAATGTGATCTATCCTAGAGAAGGACTTATGAGGGTGTGAATAAAAAGTGTATTGAAGCTTAGTTGGATTAGGTTCCCTCCAGGTGTCTATCATGGAATGAAGTTGCAATACGGCTTGGAAAGTGTGCTTAGAAGTAGGGAGGGGGGTAGGTTGGGGAGATTTGTCAAGAAAGGGATATAAAGTGCAGTTAGAGTCTCCGCAGACAAGCAAAGTACCTCGCGCATGATGGTCTATAAACCAATAGTAGGTGGGAAAGAAATAGTAAGGGCCTTTGATTCGGTGAATAATATGTGGCTATGGTTACGTCTACATCTAGGAGTTGCCCTATTAGTAGGAGGTAACGGCTTCAGGATCCTTGACTTCATTGCTTAGCGTAAAGGGTGTTGTGTGATGGAAGGCGATGAGTACTCCCCTGCATTTTTCTGTGGCTGAGGGTGTGTAGACCTGCGGATAATGGGGGCCAAAAAACTTGGGGGTAGAGCTAGGTGTGTAGTGCGTTTCTTGCAGGCAAACTACATGGGCTTTAAGTGATGCAAAAGAGCGGAAGGCTTTGTTGCGCTTCTGTGGTGTGTTGAGGCCCTGAACGTTCAGGGTGAGAATATTTAATGGGCCCATAAAGAGCGTTTATGATGCGTCAGATGAGAGAGTATTGTCAGCCATGTACGAGGCTGGAAGCCACTATGTAAGATAGTCTGAGTGCATAAGAAACTAGTTGGGGTCATGGAGTCATATGAGGTGAAAAGTGAGGGGATAAGATAAGGGATAGATACCAGGGAGAGGTGGTGCGGGGCCATGTCAGTCCCAAGTGGCGGTCCCCAGAACCACCTAAAAACAGGGTGGTTCGGGGAGCTGTAGTAGCCCAAGCGCTATTAAGTAAGAAATAGCGCAGGGGCTAAAGGGGAGTGTGCAGGTGCGCGGACCGTGGGGATGATAGAGGTTTGTCAAAAAGAGGAAAAAAAAATGTATGATAAGGAGATCCCGGAAAAGAATAGACAAATCAGTACTCAAGCAGCTAAAGAGGTCCCGAGCTCAGGCGGCTTCTAGTGCAAAAACTGAACAACAGGAATGAGAAGTATCCTCCTATGCCGCCGGAGCTGAGGCCCCCACAAACAATCTAAGACACGATTAAGGGGTAATGATGTCAACAGTAACATTCAATGAGCAACAGGCTCCAAGGGATACATGGGAGGCAAAGAGATAACTTAACCATCAACATGCGAGAAAAACCCCCAGATAAGAGTTTTTCTCAAAAACAAAAAGCAGCCATCATAAAGGAGAGAAACTAGAGGGCCAAACAGGCCCCGGTGGCCAGTATGAGGTTACACAACGCCTGCATTGAAGCGCGAAGCAGGAAAAATAGGAACCATAGGTGGTAACCTCGCCGCTGATCTAGCGGTGGTTGGTCCAAACGGGTGTCAAGAAAAGAGGTGAAGGATGCAGTTCAATCCATGGTATCCTGTGGAGGTGGGCCCGGTGATGAGAAGCGCCCACGTTTGTGGACACTGAGTTGACCGTCGGCCGAGCGTAGAGGATAGGATTTCCGCGGTGAGCAGGAAGTAGATCTGTGTTTGGTGCCTTCTGACTGGCTTGAGGGGGAATGTAGTTGGAGGTTCTGTAGGGTATCCAGCAAGTCTTCAGGGGTTTTGCAAGAGTAGTCCCGGGTTTGATATCGGAAACGCACTGCGAAGGGGAAGCTCCATTTATATGGTATCGCATGATGTTGAAGCGCTTGCAGATGCGGTTTCATGGCTCTACGTTTAGCGATGGTTGTTGGGCAGAGATCCTGGAACAAATGGTAGGTGTGGCCTTGAAATTGTAGGGATTCCATGTTGCGGGCTGCCTGCAGGAGGTGTTCTTTAGTACGAAAGAAATGGAGCTTGGCTATGACATCGCGTGGTGGGCCATCAGGGCGCCGCGGGGTTAATGGCCTGTGGACCCTGTCCATTTCCAAACGGTCTATTGGAATGGATGAGTCGAGCTCCTGAAACAGCGCCGTTACAGTAGACTGGACATCGACGATCGACTCAGGGAGGCCACGGATACGCAGGTTTGAGCGCCTTGCCCGATTTTCAAAGTCCTGTAGGCGTGCTAGCAACGTTGCGTTTTCATCGCGCAGGAGGTCAAGATTGTCCACATGTGTCTGAAGTGAGGCATCAATATCGTCTACTTTCTGTTCCAGGTCCGCCGTGCGTTGTCCTAGTTCGCAAATTTCTCTGGAGAGCATAGCGGTGATGCAGTCGGAGGTTTGTTCCAGGGCTTTATGCAGCATCTTTTCAAATCGTGCTAGGAGATCAGGGGGTAAGGTCAGGTGTCGGGGTGTATGTAGGGGTGTCTGGATCAACATCTGACTTACCCTCGGATGCGCTGGGGTGGCCGGGCAGTGCGTCCCTCAGAGCTGCAAAGGATCCTGCAGCCTGCTTGCTGCTTTGTGATGTAGCTGTGGCCAGTTTGGATGAGGCCTTTGCTAATGCCTCCTTAATGGGCTTCTGCTGTGGTGGAGCCTGGTGGCGGGGTGCCCCTTTCACCATGGTGCTGTCAGGTGAGTGTGCCCCCTCAGATTATGGCCCCCCCCCTGGTCTGTGCAAGGCTATATGATTTGCCTCATTGTGGGCGGGCCTCCGTGCGGCCTATAGGGGGGGGGGCGGAGCCGCGGCTTCTTATATATATTCCGCCGTTCGCCGGCCGTTTTTACCGAGCTGGATTGGATCTGGGGGGTGTGTCACAGTGGAGGTGGGTACCTCAGTAGGTGCCGTGTCGGCCGGGATCCGTGGGCGGTTTGCCTCTACATCTGACGGGGAGACGGAGCTCTAGCTCTCCATGTCCGTCCCGCCAGCCGCCCGCGCATGCGCACTCCGCCCCATAGATTCTCTATGGGGTTTGGGTCAGGCGAGTTTGCTGGCCAGTCAAGCACAGTAATCCCACGGTCATTGAACCAGGTTTATGTGCTTTTGGCAGTGTGGGCGGTGCCAAGTCCTGCTGGAAAATGAAGTCAGCATCCCCATAAAGCTTGTCTGCGTAAGGAAGCATGAAGTGCTCCAAAATCTCCTGGTAGACGGCTGCGTTGACCCTGGACTTAATGAAGCACAGTGGACCAACACCAGCAGATGACATGGCTCCCCAAATCAACACAGACTTTGGAAACTTCACACTGGACTTCAAGCATCTTGCAGTGTGTGCCTCTCCATTCTTCCTCCATACTTGGGGTCCTTGGGCCTCTCCATTCTTCCTCCATACTCGGGGTCCTTGGGCCTCTCCATTCTTCCTCCATACTCGGGGTCCTTGAGCCTCTCCATTCTTCCTCCATACTCGGGGTCCTTGGTTTCCAAATGAGATGCAAAAGTTGCTCTCATCAAAAAAGAGGACTTTGGACCACTGAGCACCAGACCAGGTCTGTTTTTCTTTAGCTCAGGTAAGACGCTTCTGACGTTGCTTGCTGTTCAGGAGCGGCTTGACAAGAAGAATACGACATTTGAAGCCCATGTCCAGGATCCGTCTGTGTGTGGTGGCTCTTGATGCACTGACTCTAGCCTCGGTTCACTCCTTGTGAAAGTCCCCAACACTTTTGAATGGCCTTTTCCTGACAATCCTCTCCAGGCTGCGGTCATCCCTGCTGCTTGTGCACCTTTTTTTCCCCACACTTTTCCCTTCCACATAACTTCCTATTAATGTGCTTTGATACAGCACTTTGGGAACATCCACCTTCTTTTGCAATTACCTTTTGAGGCTTTCCCTCCTTATGGAGGGTGCCAATAATGGTTTTCTGTACAACTGTCAGGTCAGCAGTCTTTCCCATGATTGTGATTCCTACTGAACCAGACTGAGAGACCATTTAAAGGCTCAGGGACCCTTTGCAGTTGTTATGACTGAATTAGCTGATTAGAGTGGGACACTTTGAGCCGAGAATATTCCACCTTTTCACAATATTCTCATTTTCTGAGATTGTGGATTTGGGGTTTTCATGAGCTGTAAGCCATAATCATCACAATGATGACAAATTACGGCTTGAACTATCTTGCTTTGCATGTAATGAGTCTATCTCCTATATTAGTTTCACCTTTTAAGTTACATTACTGAAATAAATTAACTTTTGCACAATATTTTCTAATTTTTTGAGTTTCACCTGTATATGACTCAATAAATCATAATAAAGCCATATCGTTTTTATCAATCTATATATCAAGCAGTCTAAAAACTAAGTTCAATTAACAAGTATCAGGGCCCTGGACCCTGCAGAAGTAATCAAATGGGCTATTATTAGGCATAACCAGGACTTTAATACATTACATATCTACATTCAAGAGACTGTTTGGAATACACTGCGAAACAGGAATGGCTACACATGAACGGCTAAATTTTAATCCATTTATGGCCAGCTTTAGCAGGGGATGTGTCTGAGATCTTCAGAAAGACCACTGCTTCTACACCACTGAGCAAACTGTTGGCGCTATATACTGTAAGCTCTGTATAATAATAATAATATTAAATAATAATATACGATTATGGGGTACCTGTTTTATTAGATGTTCCTGGATCTGTGCAGATATAATAAGCAGCACCTGTCATGTCCATTTCCATAGTACGGCTAGCTTTCTATTTTATTTATGAAGCTTTCATAAGTTTGATCCCACAAGAAATAGCAAGGAAGATACGTTAATAAAGATACTGCTTGAGAATGTTCTTGAGGAAAGTTATATGTGTATATGAATGGGGTAGGAATCATACAATG